CGGTGAGGGAACAGGGCGGTCAACACTATCAACCCCTAGGCGCCAGAAGGTCTGGGGGCCAGGTGCTCTCCATCATCAAGTAGTTAATTTATTCCCTTTGGTGGTGGTTTTTAGCATCTGAAAAACTCAGGAAATATACATGAGATACTATTATCTGGCTACTTCAGAGAGGAACTGCAGCAGAGGAGATGGGGGAGGGGTCTGTCCCAGGAAAGCTCCATAAGGGTCCTGCTCAGTTACGATTACTACTCAGAAAAACCTGGATGATTCCTGCAATCGTTTCTGATTAATTCAGGTACTTCCTCGAACTCATTAGTGTGAATGTTTTTTAAGACCTGAGCGGCAAACATACGTTTCTTGAAGGCTTCACCCCACTCCTTAACACTGAACGTTTTCGTTACACAGAAGAGACAGCTGGATTCCTGTAGCTCTTGGCATTTAAAGATTGAAGTTCATGGCAAGACAATTAATTTAAGCTTGAGCAGAACTTGTTGTGACAGATTTCTGAAACTTATCCAGTGAACTAACATGGTCTTCTGCTTCATGAAGAAAAAGGAAGCCCAATGCTGTGATGTCATTTCTAATTTCTGGTAGATACACATTTTGTTCTTTATATTGAAAGAGCATCTTGAGAAGCAAATCCCAGAAGGAAGTTTTTTCTTGTCGCAAAAATTGTGGAAATTTGATTTGTAATAGCCAAGTACTCTGCAAGGGGGTGGAGGTGGTGTGTGTTAAAATTTGAGGCTTTTGATTTGACAGTACTTCTGAGATGGTGTCCTTTTGGTTACAAAAATAGAAAAGTATTGTTCTGTTAAAATGATGAGATGGACAATTTGAGATGCTCACAATAGCAAAGTAAGGTGGAGAATTGGAACTTAATGCCTGTAACTTCATCTTCTCAACTGCTAGGATTTTGCCCTTTGAGGGCAGGCCCACGTCTCTTTAAATCCCAGTGCCAAGCACACTGCCAGTTAATCTATCATCTATTTGTAAGTGCTCATAGTGGTGAAAGAGTACAGTGACATGTGAGTGTCAGGAAATGACCTTTACTGTTAGAAAGGAGATGAAAGCACGTTTTGGAGTAATTTTAAATGCAGGCAGTAATAGTTCAGTGATTTTGAAAGCCCAAATTTGTTTTCCTCCTATCTTCTTAGAATCAAACCTCTGTCTGCGTTGATCTCAGTTATAAAATCAGATTACATATAGCTTTCTTGGTGAAACAAACACAGTGGAGAGGTGCTCAACTAAAGCAGTCTTTATAGTAAAGTATTTGAATGCTTGAACACAATGTTCAGCTTGGTTGCCAGGTGGTGAAATAGTCTTGCATTGTCTTGATTGGTCTTACTGATTTGTAAAGTTCAGGGTGAATCCAGGATCTGAAAAGTTGGAAGGCACCCCTTTGAAGAATAACTACTTCCTTCTATGACCGCTGCTGATCTGAGAAAGTATTGGTCAGGGATGTCACCCAGAGATTTCAAACCCTGGATCAGTGGTTGAGATGGATGGCCTTTCTTAAAGGCCCTTCTTCCTTAGAAAGTATGTGGAGGTGATAATAGAGTACCACCCAATCAGCGCTCTCAGAATTTCTCTGTTGTGATTGTTCTTTCCTTCATTGGGTCTTCAATCAGACTAAAACCTCCAAAAAGGAAGAGCACATACTTATCTTGCTTATCATTGTATTCCTAGTGCCCAGCACTGAACAGGTGCGTAGTAGATGCTCAAATATTTGTTCAATGGAATTGAACATGCTTATCTGGAACATACTGCCCCGGTCCTTCTTAGAGAGCAAGAAACTTAAGCTGGGTAAATAACTGGGCCTTCATCTTCATTGTGATGGTCAACTTACTTGCTTTCTCTAAAAGAGAAGAAAATAGTCAAATAGTGTTGCGAAGTTCTTGAGTTGATGGTAAGACTTTTGAATTATATGCAATTTAGTTGTCTAATTTCTGTGGTACTAGAGTAATTGCAAGATATTTATAAAACATTGTATTGCCATGTAACATTAGCCAGAAGAGAGCTGAATCTTTACATCTTGCTGTTTTTGTTAATTTCTGCCTGATTGAGAGAATTAAAACTTAATTTTCTTGCAGTAATGACTCCTGCATTTCAATCAGAACTTCAGCATTTAGAGTTTATAAGTAAATCAGCCATTTTTCTTATTCTTAAGGGACTGAAACTGGAGTGAAACTTTTATAATTATGCAATACTCATATAGTACTGTAGTAAGTTATATTTAATATAACTGATCATAAATGAAGTTTAATAAACTCTAATTGCTTGACTAATTCAAAAGCGTATTGCTTTTCCAGAGTTGATTTTAATGAAAATATACGGTCACTATGCTTATTGGCGTAATATGCCCTCACCCTAATGACCATTATCGTTAGATTTGCACAATAAAAATGTACTAAAATGACTTTAATCAGTGCTTTTAATTCAAGGGTGTGACTCTAATAAACATTTTGGGGGTCATTTTGCTTTTTTGTTTTTTTTTCTGTTTTAACTCCATAAGTAGCTCTATAATTTGTACACAGGAGTAAAATCCATAACGTTGGCTTACAAGTGGTGTGAGGGACAGCTGCGTGCACCTAGACAAATTACATCCAGACAAAACTGGAGAGCTTGTCCCTGTAGAACATCATTATAAATGAGAATGTATCTTAATACAGCCATTTGAAAATATGTTTTAAAGGTCAGTTCACGTAAAAATGACTGTGTTTTAATCTTGTCAAAGAAAGCTCTTTATGGCTCTCTGAACTTTTTCCTTGTTCGTGGTGGTTTTGTCATTATTCTCCTCTTGTACCTTTTTGTTTGAATAATGTATAAACATAGTTGTATGGCAGAAATCATTTATTTTCTATTGCAGAGAATTTAAGTGTAATTTATACAATAATTTCAATGTATTTTTACTGTGCAGTGGCCCCAAATTGCCCCTTCTCCAACTCAAACTCTTCAAATGTCCTTAAAGATTTTCCTTTCCAGTAGACTACATTTGTCTCTTTTTTTTTTCCTGAACAGTGATAAAGAAGAGTTCTAAGTAATAGTATCAAGAAAATATTTATGAAAGCAGATTTTTTTCATGAGGGAAATCTACAAGAAAATATCTGTATCAGTCAAATGTGCATAGTTATCTAGGATATACTCTCTGGAGTTGAGTGAAACTTATACGTCAAGAAATCATAAAGAGGGTGTTTTTCTTTATGGTTCTCTATCACAAATCATTCAGATCATTTCTTATATGAAAATAATTTCCTATGTCTTAAAGTGCTCTATCATTCTTGAAGATGCCTTTTGAGGGGGAAAAATGTAAGAAGACACTAAAGAAAGCATAATTCTCCATTTTTGACCAGGGTTCCACATTTGGTTTATTAATAACCAAACTTTAAACTCAAGGGAAGCTCTGGAAATAGAAGCATGTCTAGCTGGGTGGGCATTTCCAGCGGGTGCACAAACTGGACATAATGAGGAATGCAATGGGAAAGGATTTCCATTTTTCCCATAGCATGTTGATCATGAGGGAAGAAGTAGAAGATAGCCTAGGGCTGAATAATGCAGGGCTTTGAATGCCATATTAAGGATGCTAATCTTTATTCAGTAGGTACCCAGGAGCCAGTGAATACAAATGGGCATGTGATAATCATGATTGTTACTGAGTTCTGTGTGCCAAGCACTACTCTAGTCATTAGGGGTACATCCCTGAACCAAACAGATGAAAATCTCTATTCTCATGGAGGTCACATTTTCAATGGGAGAAACATACCAAAAAAAATTACAGATTATGCTAGAAGGTGGTAAGTGCTATGTGCTATGGAAAAAAGGAAAAGTAGAGCATGTAAAGGCAGGTCAGGAGTGTGTGGAGGAGGTGGGTGTTTGCACTTACATAGGGTGGACAGGGTAGGTCCCGCTGAGCAGAAACTTGCAAGGGGAGGCAGTCAGTGATGGAGAAAGCCATCTGGCTAATGGAAGAGAGCATTCCAGGCAGAGGGGAGATGGCTTATTGCATCAGTGAGGAACAGTGAGGTGGTTGGTGTTCCTGGAGTTGAGTGACTGAAAGAGACTGTAGCAGGAGATGAGGTCAGAGGGACAGGGAGAGCGTGCACAAACATAGGGCCTTGCTGGCCATTGTCAGGATTTTTGACTTTCACTCGGAGTGAGGATAGAGCGCCACTGAAAAGTTTTGAGCAGCGTAGTGACACCATCTGACTTTAGTTTTAACGGTGTCACTTTGTCGGCGTGTTCAGAATGAACTCTAGCAGGGTAGAGGTGGAAGCAGGGAGAGAGGTTAGGAGGTTTTTTTCGAGGTAAGAGATGATGTGATGGTGGCTTGAACCAGATCTTTGCTTTAAAAAGATGACTTCGACAATGAGGAGAGAATCATAGTAGAGGTAATTATTCGGAGGCTCTTGACAGTGATTAGAATCTAAACTGAGATGGTTTGTGTGGGAACAAATAAGAAACTGCAGAAAGATCATCATGGAACTTGACAGCTGCTTGGCTGTCGGGAATTAAGGAGAGGGAGGAGACCAAGGTGACATGGAAGTCATGAAACCGGATAAGTGGAATGCAGATGGCGTCATTAACATAAATGTCACCCTCCTTTTTGAAAGTCTGACTTGTCCCTCTCTGACAACAGTTTGCCTCCTTTGTGCTCATGTAGTGTTTCCATTGGGTTATTAATTATGTACCCACTTTTTCCTACTACATTTTCCCTCCTATTCCCCACCTAGAAAGCTGAGAGAAGAGCTCTGATTCTTATATTTGTGGTGGTATTAAGGTAAAATGAGGAAGGTGAAATTTAAGAATTATGAAAGAGCATGGAATCTAAATTTATATATAGTTTATATATGAAGAATAGCCACTTGAAGAACATTAGTGTATATTGGTCAAAGTGAGTTCAGTAGATGATACGGAAGATGCATTAGGGAAGGACTGTGGTTGCCAGGGGAATGCTCTTTGGGGTGATGCTTGACCTCTGCCCCCCCCCCCCGCCCCCGGTAATGATGGCAAAAGGCAGTTACCCAAAGGAAAGCGAAACTGATGGTGATTGGGGTATCCATGAATTTGAGATTACCTTGAACTGGTTCAATTCAGTAATTCAACACTAACAGGCTACAGCCTGATTAACCAACTAAAGATGCTGTGTTTTGACTAAGAGTTAGTATTTACTGACAGCCAGTTCTGTGATCCTTGGGCAGGTCACCAAGCCTCTTCAAGCTTCAGTTTCATCATTCATAAACTGAGAGGTTTTCACCAGATAATTTCAAATTTCATCTGACTTCAATAGTGTCTAACCCCATACTGTGGGATTTAATATGGACCAAAAATATGTTTATTTAAAAAAAAAAAGAGTAAGGATGGGAGAAGAGAAGAAAACTCATCTCTTCATATAAGACAAGGTGGAAATATTGCTAGCAGTACTTTTTTTTCCGGTTTCTGTCCCCCATGATTAAATTCTCAGCATATATTCAATTGAGATACAGATTTAAAGCATTCTAGACATATGGGTACCTTAACTTAGAGAATTTGACTAAATTGAATCCTATTTTCCCTACATTTACATTCTCACTTTGAAGGTGTGTTTCCAATTCTGAGTTTATAATCCCAAAGGATGGGAAGGAAAGAAAAGCAGGGGTTGCTTGAAGAACTGTATAATCTGATAATAACACAGGGGACAGGTACATATCTGGATGGTAGCAGGGTAGTTGAGGCAGTTTTGAGACTTTGACATTTCTCACTCTGGTTTTACATTATAGGAAATGTCAAAGCTTGCATTATGCATGGAACAGGTTTCTGTACCCCACTGGGAAAATTAAAGAGAAATTATCAGGTAGAGATAGTCCTAGGGTAAATTGATCTTTCTTAAAATGGCTTCAGTTCTGATATAAATAATCCCCTCCTTTTCTTTTTTCTAGACAATAAAGATTGATTGGGGTTTGTGTTAGCAGGATGAGATGAAGACATAGTACAAAGATATAGAAGGGTAGATCCCTGAGGGAACTGATGGATTGAAAGTAGGACAAGAACTCCACATATAATAGTATATTTGTCCCCACTGACTGAGGGGAGGATGATCTTTAATGGCATTTGGTTGGTGGTATTTGAAGACAATTTTATAAGACCCTGAGACCAAATAATTGTCACTTAAAACTCTTCATGGAATTCTCCCCACCAGTGAGAAGACCATATTTTTCTTAGTAAAAAGGGATTTGAGCATGCATGATGTACGTCATTCAGCTTCTGTTGTAGGAAATAAATGTATAGGATGTGGCAGAAGGGTTAATTTCAGTTCCTAACAGGCAGTTTAAAAAAATCTGATTTTTTTTTCCTAATCACATCTCTTAACTAGCACTTGAACATAGTTCAACATACTTATAACATAAAAAAAAACATACTTATAACATAATAATAACTGCTTTCATGCTGAGCGTATGTTATTGTGAGATCTTGAAGTATCTTCTGAATCTTGGAAGATGACTAAGTTGTTAGCTGTTTGTTTTGCTTACTTCAATATTGCAGTACTCAATCCTGCAAATATTGGTGCCCCTATATGCTATGTGGTTGTTTTATTAACTACTGTAGTCTATTAACTGGGATATACCATTTCCAAAGATTCTCAGCATTAGAAGTAGAAAAACCACATGCAAAGAAAAAAAAGTTTTGGCATTTTTTGAGAAATGGGCATATATTAACAGAATTAGTAAGTTCCGTTTTATCTAGAATATTTATAAAGGTGTTCCTTAAGTATCTATCAGATGCAACTGAGTTCTAGACTGAGCTGTTTCATTATATTTCATTACTGTTAAATGTGACATTTTCCCTATGTTCATGTTTTTAAAAAAATTATGTGTCTTAAAAATATGATTATTCATGCCGTAACTTTGAAAAATCTTGATAGGGCTTATGACTTTGCTGTATCTTTTCTCACGTTTGAACACTGGTAGTGATGTCTGATCCAAATCTGACTTTGGGACCTTGGGAGCCATCTTCAAAAACAGACACCCCTCTCCACCAAACCTTCATTTTTAATCCTTAAAAAGTTGTTTTTTTTCTTTTGCAAAGAATGTATGTGTTTGTATATTTAACTTTCGAATTCTTTTTGACTACTTTTAGTTGATAAAATAAACAAGAATCATTCAATTATTTTCTTGTTGGATCGGTGAATTTCTCTTATCTGACAGGTATTTTTTTTCTTTTGATTTTAATAGAACATTCAAATAAAAACCTTGGCAGATGACGTGGTAAGGTGGATTATTAGCATGTTATTACATTACTTATGCATGTTGCCTTTTTATTAAAGTGGGTGGACATAAAAGCATTGATATATGTAAGATGTAAAATGTCTGGATGTTTACAAAGTACAGTAGATTGAAGAATTGCCAATAGAGTGACTTCTCGTGTTTTGAATATTAACATAAACAGTTGTACGAGATCTCAACAAAATTTTGATATTATTGCCCTGATATATACCTCAACCAATTTTAAAAAAATCTATGTAAAATCTAGCTCTGGAAAACACAAATGTTTCCTTTCTCAATAGCCATGTAAATTGACTCTGAATCTGTTACACATTAATATTAATAGTGAATGAAATTAATTTCAAATAGAAAGGAAGTTAAGTTCATTATGTTAGAAATGTGCTATTAAATTTAAATTCCTCAAGTATTTTTGAGGTGAGTCTATCATCGTAAAACTTATTAAAAGTTATGGGCTTAAAATTTAAATGTGCCCTTTTATAGCTAAACTTTTAAAAAATGGTATTTTAAGCAGTGTCTTTTTTTTTTCTTTGCGACATTACCAATCTACAAATAATGTAGAGTATTGTTTGTGATTTAAGGAGGTGAAAGTGTATGGCTTAACTTTATTTTCTTATCAAGATAGAGCTGAAAGCGAAAGTCAGTTTTCTAGGTTGAAGTGAAGGGCGTAGTGGAAGATCAAATATATATGTAAATAATGCTACTCAGTAAAAAAAAGCTAGCAGTGCAAAAGTAAATATTAAGTGATATGAAAGGAAAGGAACAGAGATATGTTCATTTAATGGCCGATTGCATATTTAAATGCTTTTATGTCCACCATATCTGTAAGTGAAATTTGACTCTTGGTTATGTACTCAGCTTATTTGGGATTGCTTTATATTTTTTCTTGAGTTGTTTGAAAATATACTACATATCTAATCTAACTTAATTTTCCTCAAAGAAATTCAAATTCAAAAGAAAATTTGAAAATATAGAGGATGATTTGAAGAAACGAATCTTCATGTGAACACTGGGCTAGGAACCAGGGACTCGTGAATTTAGCGGGTCACTTTTTCTGCAAAATGAGTTGGTACAGATGATTTTCAAGTTTCCTCCCAGCTCTAAAATACTATGATTTATATAATCTCTTTGTAAGCAACCATGTACTAAGATCATTTTTGTAGTCCTAAATAAGCTGCTTAAAATTGCTCATAGTTCTTTCAAAGTACACCTTTTAGAAAAAAAAAAGTGTACTTTGAATCAAAATAAAAGGTATGTCCTTTTAATGGGGGGCAACAGAAATGTACATAATTGTGGTGAGAACTTCTGTGATTTTTTTGTATTGTTGAGGTGATTTATAAGGACTTGGTAACATGACAGTGACGATGCACTGTCCTCATATCTAACACGTCCGCTTGTTTAACGTGAGCTGACAGTATGCATGTGCTTCCTAACAGAAACCAGAATAAAACTGAGCTGTATTCAGTTTTATGGTCATTACTAATTTTTGATGTCCAATGTTCCTGTAGTTTAAAACAGAATGGCCTGACTCTATGCAGCTGGAGTCATTAACTCACTTGATGTGAAATCGCAAGCTAATTATTAGAGATTGTACATGGAATCAATGGTTCCGAGTCAATATCCATAAAATAATAAGTTATTCATAGTAGTGTTTGTAGGAATAAGACATTTCTGTTTCTGTTATATTTCCAGTAAATGGAAAAGGTACTGTTTTAAATTTTGTTGTGCTTCCTTTTTGATCCCACTTTTTAGGGAAGAAAAAGGTGGTGTAATAATAATAATAGTGACAACAGCAATAGTAATAAATAGCAGCTAAGTACATTCAACATATAACTTATTTAAATCTCTTAATAACTTTCTTGCTTGCTTTCTCTTTCTCTCTCTTGCCTCCCTTCCATCCTCGTACATTAACTCGTTACCACTATTTTAGACATCGAGAGACCACGTGATTCGCACAGGGTTACCCACCTCGTAAATGGCACATTCAGACCCAGGTGGTCTGGCTGCAGAGTCCGTGCTCTTAAACATTATACTCTGCCATTGCGCTGACATAGTATTCACAGATACTTGTCACAAGTCTTTTGGCACTTTGAAGAAGAGAAACCTTACTATAATTTCCCCCTTAGAACTGGATATTCTGTCTTTTCCTTTCTTTTTTCTCCATAGTTCGAAAGTTGCTGCCAAACACACATTCTCCCTCAAATGACCACATGCCTTTGAGGCCAGGCTTTTCTCACCTACTTATTGTGCAAAACAAATGACAAGGGGCTAAGTTTTACTTCTGAGGGATACTTTGCAACCCCCGACTCCCCAACTTCTGAGGCTGAAAAACTACCTCAAGGCTTTGAAATAGTACAATCTCTAACTGGAGCTTGCTGTTTAAAATAACATTTTGTCAAAAGACAGTAAAGATCTGTATCATACTAAGTGCCATTTTGATGTTTCAGTTCTTCATGTCCATGATTCTTGATCACTTCCTTAGGGCTTCTTATGTTTTTCTGTTTGCAGCGTGACCGAATTACAAGTTTTAGAAAATCTACCGTCAAAAAAGAAAAACCTCTTATTCAACATCCTATTGATTCTCAAGTTGCAATGAGTGAGTTTCCAGCGGCTCAGCCATTGTATGATGAACGATCTTTGAATTTAACAGAAAAGGAAGTCCTGGATCTCTTTGAAAAAATGATGGTAAGTTAGACCCTCTAATTTTGTTGTTGTTTTAAAATGCATGTGCCCAGATTAGCAGTGGGTTCTAAGTGAGTGCGTTTATATCACATAAAGGAGAGACCAGAAACATGTTGGTACTACATAACGATTTTCAAGAGGATCTGGTTTTTTGAGCTAAAACCTGTCTATCTCTTCCACTATGACCTCCTAAAAGCAGGGGCTGTCTTACTTATTTTTGTTCTCTGGTATTCAGTAGTCTCTTCTGTGGCACACTGAATCTGGTTTTTCTTTTGTCTTGGGTTTTTTTTTTTTTACAATTTTATTATTTTTTAATAGAGGTACTGGGGGTAGAACCTAGGACCTCGTGCATGCTAAGCATGCACTCTACACTGAGCTACCCTCTCCTTGAATCAGTTTTTTAACTACCTAATTTGTGTTCTTGTTTCTAGAAAGCAAAATGGGCCCAAGTCCACTTTTCTGTAAACACCACAATGTATCTTATTGGGAATAGGAAATAGAGTTGGGAGGGCAGAGTGTTTAAGAAACAAAACAAAACAGTAGAGAGGACAGAAGAATTAATAATTCCTCCAAATTTGTTCTATTATCAGCAGGCATGCAACCTATATTTTCTAGCATTCTTATATTTTATAGCTTGTGGTCTAGATTATTTCTTTTATTAGCTACTAAATATAATACTTTGATTATTCTGCAGTTTGTGGTAAGAGAGGGCAGAGATCAGGCATCGGGCCATATTGCGTTGGTTTGCTTGACAGAAGTGGAGATACTGATTCATGATTCATTCATTTCTAATTCTCTTCTACTTATCATGGTAGATTTTTTTTTTTGGTGAATGTCTATTTATTTTGAGTTAAGGTCCATAAGAATTTCAAAGATTTTCCATACCAAAATAAAAGGTTAAGAATACTGAAAATGTAGACCCTTCTACTCTGCCCATTATGGAGGATCTTTTACCACTCCTTCCTGACTCCCACTGTTTGTTGAAAGTTGTTGAATGAATACAAATTCCCTTTATCTTTAAACTTTTCCTTTAATATTCCTTCTGTTTAGCCAGAGCTGGCATCTAGGTTTTCTCTTGACACAAGTCCTGAGATGCCCACTCTCTTCAACCCTTCCTCTGAGTTCCTTTTTCCTGTTGCTCCTTCTATGCTGTGTTCTTTGAAACAACTTTTCAGCAACTTTTTCTCTTATAAAGTCTATTATCTGATGACAGACCTTGGTGACAATAGCATCTGGCTGTCCTTTGGGTTTTTCTCTTGCCATTCATTTTGGTGACTTCAACTATTACGTTGATAAAAGTGTCATCACATTTTTGCCCTTAGTTCCTTGGTTTTCTCAACTCTGACCTTTGCATCTATGTATTTAGCTAATTATAGGCATGACTACACCTTGGACTGTGTCATTCTTTGGAATGATTCCACCTCTGAGATCTTTAGCTCTGAAATTCTTCTCGGAAGCTAAACAACCTATGTTACCTTTTGCAGGCCCTTAATTTCACAGGACATGTTTATGTAGTGATTAAGAGCTTGGACTCTGGGGTCATTCAGAGTTGGGTTTGAGTTCTGGTTCTGGCATTAATCACATGACTCTGTGAAGGTTGTAGATCCTCTGTAAACTTTATTTTCTGTGACTGTAACCAAGGTATAAGAGGGTCTACCTCATATGGTTATTTTTAAGATTAAAGGAGATGTTATTCCTAGAATAGAGCCTAGCATAAAGCTTTCTGTAAAACTACTTTCATAAATGCTTGTGTTCCCTTCCTTTATCAAATAAAGCTCTATTCTGTCTTCAATTGCCAGTATTTCCTGATCACCTAGACTGCCCTTTATTTTGCCACTTGGTTGTTTGATCTTAATCACCCAAAATCAACAACAGAAACAGAAATATTCTTTGACACTAATCTGACTTTTTATCTTTTCAACTCTTCTCTTCACTCATACTTCACTCAAATTATACTTACTCCTTGAATCTGCTGATCAACTGGTTACTGATTTTTGCAGTATTAAAGTAGGTCTTTGAGTTCATCAGTGGCATTGCCATCCTCCAGTTCACTGAGCTCACCGTGGGCAGGCCATCTTCCATTCCAGTCGTTTTCTCAGTCACTTCCAATTGCTTTCCAAATCCCACTGGTTGTGCGTTTGCAAGGACTCGTACATCTGTTTCCTCAGTTGTCCTCCAGCTGCTCATGCCCTGCTTCAGACCACATCCCTCTCTAGTTTTTCACTTCCCTCTCCAAAGCCCCAAGGAGGCCCTTCTGTTTTCAGACAGTCATTTTCTATGTCCCCACTCCATTGTCGCCACCGTACTTCCAGATGACTGTTTCACACCTTTACTTTGCTGCTCAATCCTCAGAACTCTTCCCCATCTTTATGCTCTGCCTGACTTTGCTGCTTAATTTACTGAGTAAATGGAAGCGATCAGAAGTAACTTCCACAGACCCCCACCACCACGTCTACCTAAGTTTGAGTATCTGCAGTCACACAGTTTGTCTTGCTACCTGTCACCATAGATGAAGTCTTCATCTTCCAGTCCTTCCATTTGTGTACAAGGTTCCATTCCTTTGCCCCTACTGGAGGACCTTGCTCCAATAATTTTCTCCTCTCTTCTGCCATTCCCAGCAGCGTACAAACATGCTGTCTCATTTTACAAAACCTTGTCACGACCTTATCTCTCTTACCAGCTCCCGCTCTATTTTTACTCTCCATTGAAGCAGAACACCTCCTAATAATTTCATTTATATTCACTGCTTCTGATTTCTCTCCTCTAATTTTCTCTCTTGAACTCACTGCAGCCAGGCTTCGATCCCACCATTCCATCAAAATGGCTCTCATCAGGGTTGCCAAAGATCTCCATGCTGCCGAGTCCCATGTCCAGTTCTCAGTGCTCATCTTAACTCACCTATTAGCATTTGATGCAGTTGGTTATTCTTTCCAATTTGAAATCCTTAATCCTTCCCCCTCTTCCCCTCCCGAGCCTGACATCGATAGGGTTTCCCCCCCTACCTTTTAGGCTGCTGCTTTTCAATCTTATTTGCTGATTCCTTTTTATGTCCTCAATCTTTGACTATTGGAGAGACCCAAGGATCAGCCCTCGGACATCTCTTCTCTGTCTGCACCATCTTCTTCGGTGATTGCAACCAGTACTATGGCTTTAAATTCCACTTGTATGCTCAAAGTTCTCAAATTTATCTCCGGCTACTTCCTTGTGTCTGAACGCCAGACTCTCATAATCAAACTTCAGAATCAACATTTCTCCCTTTGGTGGTCAATAGACTTCTCAAAAGTAACATATCCAGAACTGAACTGCTGATCTCCCCTACCCCTGCTCCTCCCGGTGTCTTCTCAGTTGATGGTATATCTGTCCAGGTAGTGAGGCTCCTAACTTAGGAATTGTGCTTGACCTCTCTCTCACAATCTGCATTCAATTCATTAGGAAACCCATGAACTCTCCCTTCAAAGTAAGGTACTTGCAACGGGTGACCATTTCTCACCGCCTTCACTGGTCCACCTTGGTTGAAGTCTCACCTGGGCTGCTACAGTAGTGGTAGAACTATCAGGACAAACACAGTTCCTCATTGGTCTCCCTGCTTCCACCATGACCTACTACAGTATATTCCCAACACAGAAATATGACCCATTAAAAACCTGAACAGTGTCATGTCATATGGCCTCTCAAATCTCTACCATGGCTCCCCATTTCACTCAGGGTACAGAAGCCAGTATCCTTGTACTAAAGCCTGTGAGGCCCTGTATGGTCTGATCCCTACTTGACCTCTTGGTTTTATCTTCCTCTGCTTCAGTCACACATGTCTTCTATGCGATTATAGCAAAAATGATTCTTGGCAGTTTGAAGTTTTTTCAGTTTGTGTACAGCATTTACAATGTTTTCAAACCTTTGACAATTTTTTTTGGTTTGATATTAATTCTAATGTTTCATCATAAAATAGCCACTTTCCTCTTTCAGTGTGTTATGTTTTTAAAGAGATTTGCTTGTGGATTCATACATTTTGCCTACTGAGAATTTTCCTTCCATGGGAATGTTAGAAGAGGAAATCAGAGAAATATGGTTTGCTTAAAAGTAACAACAGAAGATCAATAACAAACTTATTAAAAGTTGTATCTCTTCTTTGAGAGAACTCTACTTGTGCATTGAACGTTATATCTTTTCTTTATTATCTTTAATTTGACTGTAATCAGTGTAAGTGAACAAGTTATTTTATGAATTGTCATAGCTTTCATTTACTGTACACTTATGGGCCCCAGCACGTAACTAAACAGTTTAGGTGTATTATTTCAGTTGATGCTTGCCACCGTGCCGCAAAGTAGGCAACATAGTTATACTCCATTTTGCAGATAAGAAAATTAAGGCTTAGAGAGAGGCTAACGAAATTGGTTCTGTAACTTGCCTAAGCTAGTAAGGGGCTGACCTGGAACTTAAATTTAGGTACGTAAAAATCTAAAATAATGGCAATTTGGTAAACTCTATCTTTAATAATGTTTCATTTAAGTTATAAATATAAAATTAATACATTTTCCCTGTACATGTACTCAGTGGAAATAGAAGGTAACTCTGAGATACTTTGCCTGGCAGGTAAAGCCAGCTTGGGATGGATGTTTCCTATTGATGATGGAAAGTTGTCTTTTTAGAAGTTACTGCTTTTTTGCAGAGCATCCGTTGAAAAGAAAGAGGCCCACAGTTTAGTAATGGAAAGCTGTTAAAATGCCATTTTCAAAGTTGCTTGAGAGAAGACACTTAAGTCATTCTGTTTGTACAACTCAGAAGTTGATTTCCTGATACAAAATTTCCCTTTTTTATTTCATTCTTTGTAGGTGATCTTCATTCTACAAGTAATGTAATAGATGTTGTCCTTCTTGATGGCTGTTATGACAGTCTTGTTTCTCTTGTCTTTCATCCTTTTTTGTGCTATTCCTGTTACCAGGCTTTTTAGACTTCACAGAACTACAAATGTTTAGGCCATTGGGCCTAAATACCATACGGGTGTTTTAGGATAACATACCCTGAAAGGTAAAACATTTTAAATAATTGCATAAAATAGCACAACATTATACACAGTAGCAGTATACGAGATGCTTGGCAAGAAATAAATTACCATAAAATAGCTAATACAATTTATTATTTGGACTTTCTGGGTAATAAATGATATATTTTGGTGAAACTTTTAGTGAAAAGCTTAAATGATGAAAGGCAATAGTCAAGTATAATCCTCTGTCACTCTGATCGTTGAAGCTCTTGTTACACCTGAGGATCACATCTGTCAATGGCAGTTCCCATTGTACAGGCTTATAGATGTAAATCATGGGGGATTATTGGACTCAGTCTGAAATCACTACAGAACAGTTCTTAAAAAGTATTAATTCCTTTATTTGATTACTGTAACCTTTATTTGACTCTTAACAGCTCATGTAAACAATGACTTGACTCTTGATAGCAAAGTAAAATCCTAGAATGAGTCCAGTTACCTGAAAGATCAAGTGGTTAGGTTTTTCCTTTCCTAGTGGGTTAGTAGATACTGACATTCTGCGGATGCTGACATCTGCTCTGTGCATTGATATGTCACTTTTCATGTAGTGGATACTCAATGAAACAAGTATAGACAGTTCTGCTGAGTAATAGTATAAATGGCTATTGCTGACAGATATAAAACTCTCAATTTGAAACTTTTCGATGATTGCTGATTTTATGAAGCACACACTATTTATTAGCAGCGTGTCTTTGGTAGTTTATAAAACTGAATGTTGTACTAGGAGTATGGTCACTGCCTATTAACTGAAAATTAGAAAGTGGTTCTTTCATTAAAACTTTCAAGAAGGGAAAAAAAACCCACTTATTTTTATATGACTTTTATAATGACCTGCATGGGGTTAAATTATACTTGCTTGTTACGATTCCTGTTCCCCTCCTTTGCCCAGAGTCATGTTTTCAAATCTTCCACAAGTGGGGAAAACTAGTAGGACCAGAACAACAATACTGCTGCCACACTTTTGGGGGAGGTAACTTTAAAAGATGACTTAACTATCGCAATATTGCATATGACCTTGAACCCCAAATCCAAATTTGAATCAGGTTCATAGTTGTAGCTTTTCTTATGTAAATTAGAGACATTTTGTATTGTCTCTAATCAGGACTGGTGAACTATTGTTTCTCTTCTACTTCAAATATGAGGAAATTAATAATGCTGTAATTGAATAACTGTTCAACATATTATGTTATCATAGCTTACTGAGAATAACTGAACTGGTTTTTGTACATGGACCATACTGCTTAAGGCCTATTAAATGTTTAATAGTGATAACTTGTTTTTATCTAAACTGAATTAATGCGATCAGAGTAAGGAGAAAGATGTGTCTGGACACTGGCATTTCCTTTTGAATATTACTGCTTTTTTGTATGCAGCTGTTTTTTTGGGGGGGAGGGGATAGGGGATTTCCATTTTAAGCTTAAAAAGTAAACAGAGATGTCTTGGAAGTTCAAATTGGAATTTATTTTCTTTTAGCTAGCACAAGGGTCTTCTGAGTGGAGGTCCCTCTTACACTGGTCACATTAGAGTCACATAGATATGTCAATAAGGACTGTGTTCTAACATAGGTAATTGAATAGTTTGTATAAAAAGATGAGGTTAGTGGTGATTTATGATTGATTTCTAGGCACACTTCAACTTCAGTTATTAAAGGCAATGTTTAAGCGGGGAGGGTATAGCTCAGTGGTAGAGCGCGTGCTTAGCGTGCACAAGGTCCTGGATTCTATCCCCAGTACCTCCATTAAAAATAAATAAACCAAATTACCTACCCCCCCAAAAGCAAGCAAACAAAACAAAAAAGAAAAATTTAAAAAGCAAGGACAAAAATAACAAATAAAGGCAATGTTTAGTATGTGATT